GTTTCCAATCGCTGAGCACGCTGTTACCGGTTGCGTTTCAATATTCGAAGTTCATAGAGCGAAAGAATCTCGTGATTTCTATCGGCGTGCTCGCGTAGGTACAGGAATGTTACGCAAGAGCCAAGTTTTCGGTAGTAAACAGAAATCAGTCAAACAATCAGCAAGACAATCTGCTCCCAGAGCAAAATACTTCTTCTATCAAAGTTTTCTTATAAACGATTGGTATCATTTGAAACCAGCAATCGTACTTAATCGCAAGGATTAAATGTATCCGTAGACACGGGATGAAGAGAATTCGACGCACACCTTCTTAACTAATTTTTAACTTGTAATTAAACTTGACATTACTCGTGTAACCCGTCCTCCATTCCAACGATCGGTTGGTAGATACTAAACGCTCGTTTACAGGTGAACAAATTACCCGAAGGAACAATACGCTGTTGGCGCAATTCGTTCCTATCCGACGCGAGATTCGTATGATTGATTACGGTAATTACTTTTCGCAGTTTTGCATTAATAACGAACGGGAACGAAAGGGACGAAGAACCGAGAGGATTCTGGAAACGAGGACGGGACTTTCGCGTGCACGTTTTAGCCAAGGTGAAGGAAGAGAGGCACCGGGTTCGCTCGAGTCCTCGGGCTAGCCGCGGATCATCCGTCCGGCCAATCCGAGCTAATTGGCCTCCATAGGTAATTACGCGCAATTAGGAGTATAGGCCGACCGGTCGTCCCGTCCTTTCTCCACGCTGCTTTTGCTTTCGCCCCCCTACCTCCCACCCCACCCCTTGCCTCTTGGTGCCGACTTCTCACAACGAGAAAACGCGTACGTACAACAACGGTCGGGAATCCATAGATCCGTTCGCGCGAGCGAGACACCTGTAGCGCTACAACGCGAGAAGCGAGGATAGATGACCAGACGGGTAGGGGACGTTGAACAGGAACTGAGAGATCGCCGGCAGGTACACAAATTATCTGGCGACGAAAAAACAACGGAAGAGCAATTAAATAATGCTACGTCGCCACATAGTAGTCTTCCCCACTTGCTACCCGATACCGGGTGTCCCGAACGAAAACTTAACGATTACCTGTCAATTTCTTATTTCTTCATCATAGGATAATTTTGAAATAAACAGTTTTAAGCAGTGTATCTT